AACCCAGTACCCATCATAGGCAGACCGTAGGAATGTACTGAGATTAAGAACTTAATTCAAAGTCTATTGATGAACTTGGCAATTCAAAATAAAGACTACCTTTGACTTAAGAAAGAACTCCCAGAAAACAAGAACTTAAAACAGTACAGTACGGGCACACCCCCTTCAGCCCATGGTGTTGCGCCAAACATGACGCCAAATTAAATTAGTCCCTTCTGCCTGCCCATGGTCCTTATCTCTCCATTCCTTGCTTATTCATGTGCCTCTCTAAAACCCCCTTAAACACCCCTATCGTATCTGCCTCCACCACTACTCCTGTGTAAAAATGCTTACCCCTCACTTCTCCTTTGAACTTCTTCCTTCTTACCTCAAATGCGTGCCTTCTAGTATTAGACAGTTCAACTCTAGGAGAAAAAGATTCTGACCATCAATCCTATCTATGCCTTCATAATTTTATAAACTTCTGTCATGTCTCCCCTCAGCATACGCTGCTCCAGAGAAAACAACCCTAATTTGCCCAGCCTCTCCTTATAGCTCATATCCTCCAATCCAGGCAGCATCCTGGTAAAGCTGTTCTGCACCCTCTTCAAAACCTCTACATCCTTCCTGTAATGTGACAACCAGAGTTGAACGCAGTACTCAGTGCAGCCTAACCAAAGTTTTATAAAGCTGCAACATCACTTCTTCTTGTATTCAATGCCCTGACCAATAAAGGCAAGCATGCCATACACCACCTTTACCACCTTATCTACTTTCAGGGAGCTATGGACTGGAACCCCAAGATCCCTCTGGACATCAGTAGTGTTCGGGATCCTACCATCAACTATATACTTTCCCTTAACATTTGATCCCCTAAAGTGCAAAACTTGCCTGGATTAACCTCCTGCCATTTCTCCTCCCATGTCTGCAACTGATCTACATCCCGCTATATGGTTTGATAACCTTCTACAACTCCCCTGATATTTGTTTTGTCAGCAAACTTACTAACCCACCCATCTATGTTTTCATCCAAGTAAATAAATCACAAACAACAGAGGTTCCAGAATGGATCCCAACAGAACACCTCTAGTCACTCCTGAAAAACTCACTTTCACCACTACTCTCAGTATTCAGTGGACAAACCAATTCTGAATCCAAATAGCCAGGTCGCCGTGGATCCCATGCATCTTAATCTTCCAGGTGAGCCTACCATGAGGGACCTTGTCAAAAGCCTTACTAAAATCTGCATAAACAACATCCACTGCTCTACTCTCGTTGATCATCCTGTTTGAGGGGCAGCACGGTGGCTCAGAATTAAGCTCTGCTGCTTCACAACGCCAGGGACCCGGGTTCAATTCATGGCCTCGGGCAACTGTCTGTGTGGTGTTTGCACATGACGGATGTTGAGGTTTGGGATATATGTTTGATTACTCTAGGTCAAGTCAGCATAAGGGGGGTGGGGTGGGGGGGTGCGAGGGAAGTGTTGGGTATTCTAAAAGGCATTAGGGTGGACAAGTCCCCAGGTCTGGATGGGATCTATCCCAGGTTACTGAGGGAAGCGAGAGAGGAAATAGCTGGGGCCTTAACAGATATCTTTGCAGCATCCTTGAGCACAGGTGAGGTCCTGGAGGACTGGAGAATTGCTAATGTTGTCCCCTTACTTAAGAAGGATAGCAAGGATAATCCAGGAAATTATAGACCGGTGAGCCTGACGTCGGTGGTGGGGAAGCTGCTGGAGAAGATATTGAGGGATAAGATCTATTTACGTTTGGAAGAAAATGGGCTTATTAGTGATAGCATGGTTTTGTGCAGGGAAGGTCATGTCTTACTAATTTGATAGAATTCTTTGAGGAAGTGACAAAGTTGATAGAAGAGGGAAGGGCTGTAGATGTCATATACATGGACTTCAGTAAGGCGTTTGATAAGGTTCCCCAGGGTAGGCTGATGGAGAAAGTGAAGTCACATGGGGTCCAGGGTGTACTAGCTAGATGGATAGAGAACTGACTGGGCAACAGGAGACAGAGTTGTAGTGAAAGGGAGTTTCTCAAAATGTAGAACTGTGAACAGTGGTGTTCCACAGGGATCCATGTTGGGACCACTGTTGTTTGTGATATACATAAATGATCTGGAGGAAGGTATAGATGGTCTGATGAGCAAGTTTGCAGATGACACTAAGATTGGTGGAGTAGCAGATAGTGAAGGGGACTGTCAGAGAATGCAGCAGAGTATAGATAGATTGGAGAGTTGATTGGAGAAATGGCAGATGGAGTTCAATCCAGGCAAATGCAAGGTGATGCATTTTGGAAGATCCAATTCAAAAGTGAACTGTGGTAAATGGAAAAGCCCTGGGGAAAGTTGATGCACAGAGAGATCTGGGTGTTCAGGTCCACTGTACCCTGAAGATAGCAAAGCAGGTAGATAGAGTGGTCAAGAAGGCATACGGCATGCTTTCATTCATTGGACGGGATATTGAGTACAAGAGTTGGCAGGTCATGTCACAGTTGTATAGGACTTTGGTTCGACCACATTTGGAATACTGCATACAGTTCTGGTCGCCACATTACCAAAAGGATATGGATGCTTTGGAGAGGGTGCAGAGGAGGTTCACCAGGATGTTGCCTGGTATGGAGGGCGCTAGCTATGAAGAGAGGTTGAGTAGATTTGGATTATTTACATTAGAAAGACAGAGGTTGAAGGGGGACCTGATTGAGGTCTACAAAATCATGAGAGGTATAGACAGGGTGGATAGCAAGAAGCTTTTTCCCAGAGTGGGGGACTTAATTACTAGGGGTCATGATTTCAAGGTGAGAGGGGAAAAGTTTAAGGGAGATATGCGTGGAAAGTTCTTTACGCAGAGGATGGTGGGTGCATGGAACGTGTTGCCAGTGGAGGTGGTAGAGGCGGACACGATAGCGTCATTTAAGATATATCTAGACAGATACATGAATGGGCAGGGAGCAGAGGGATACAGATCCTTGGAAAATAGGAGACAGGTTTAGATAGAGGATCTGGATCAGCTCAGGCTTGGAGGACCAAATGGCCTGTTCCCGTGCTGTAATTTGTTCTTTGTTCTGTTGTCCTCACGTCTGCATGGGTTTCCTCCCACAGTCCAAAGATGTGCAGACTAGGTGGATTGGCCATGCTAAATTGCCCATAGTGCCCAGGAATATTTAGGTTAGGTGTGTTAGACATGGGAAATGCAGGGTTAGGGGAATGGGTCTGGGTGGGATGCTCTTTGAAGGGGTGGTGTGGACCTGTTGAGCCCAATGGCCTGTTTCCACACCGTTGGGATTCTATGATTCAACACCTCAAAGAAAGACGACTTCTAATCATAATTCCACTTCAGAGTTTATAACCACCTGGAGTTGCCAATGAAAGATAAACTGATGGGTACTATGCTGTGATAACGAAAGGTTGTAAAATCAGTCATGCAGCACTGATCAAGTAGTGGTAGCCATCAGGCTTATGTTAGCAGACAGAATGAAATAGAAAGCACTGAGCTATTTCTTAAACACCGCAGACAATATTCACAAATTTCTAAATAGCAGGAGATTTAAATACCTTGAGTTTAACAGTTTCCTAGCAATTCTGTTAACAGCTGCCTTGATAGATGCCTTGACAGTTCCAATAGGTTTATATGCATTTTGAGCACACTCATGTCTGTTTTTTCACGATTCCTAAGGACACTTCACCTCTCCAAAGAACTCCAGCTTTAGACCCCCTCCTACCAGTCAAAAATGCAGAAATCATGTTTTGAACATTCCACTAGAACAATGAGATTAGCCTTAGGCCACTGTATTTTGACATGTGCAATGCATCCTTCAACAAAAAGAACAAAAGAGAAGTACATCACAGGAACAGGCCCTTTATCATCATGCCCTAACTAATCTAAAAAAACAAACCTACTGCCCTCATTCGGTCCGTATCCCTCTATTCTCTCCCTGTTCACGTAACCATCCAGATGCCTCTTAACCGTAGCCAACGTGCTGGCTTCCACCACCTCTTCTGGCAGTGCATTCCAAGCTCCTACCACTGTCTGCGTGAAAAACTTCCCTCACACATCTCCCTAAAACTATCTTCCTAAAATTTTCCCACACTGTCCTTGAACCAGTGCCCCTTCATAATAGAACCTTCAACCCTGGGGAAAAAGCCTCTGACTATCTACCCTTTCTATGCCTCTCATAATTTTGTAGACTTCTTTCAGGTCTCCTCTCGCCACCGTCTTTCCAGTGAAAATGATCCTAGTCTTTTTAACCTTTCCTCATAGCTACTGCCCTTGAGACCAGGCAACATCCTGGTGAGCCTTCTCTACTCTCTCCAAAGCTTCTGATATTGTGGCGACCAAAACTGCACACAATACTCCAAATGCAGCCTAACAAGGGTTTTGTATAGTTGTAACACGGTTTGCCATCTCTTGTACTCCATGGCCCAGCTGATGAAGGCAGCATGCCATTATCCCTTCTCAATCACCTTGGCAATGTGTGTTGCCACTTTTAGGGAACTGTGAACCTATACGCCCACATCTGTCTGAATGGTAATGTTCCTAAGGGTTCTGCCATTTATAATATAATTCACACCTAAATTTGATCCTTCAAAATGCATCACCTCACATTTGTCTGGATTAAATTCCATCTGCCATTTCTGTGCCCAAGTTGCCAATCTATCTCTAATCCTGTTGTATCCTTTCACAATCATTGGCACTATCAGCAACTCTGCCAATCTTCGTGTCATCTGCAAACTCGCTAATCAGACCTCAAGTCCATATAAACTACATCCACAACTGTTCCCTCATCAATTATTTTAGTCACCTCTTCAAAAAATTTAATCAGATTGGTGAGACATGACGTTCTCTGTACAAAACCACGCTGCCTGTCACTAACCAGTCCATTTTCTTCCAAATGTGCATATATCTTATCTCAGTGTCTTCTCCAAGAGCTTCCCCACCACAGACGTCAGGATCACTGGCCTGTAATTTCCTGGATTATCCCTGCTTCCTTCCTTAAACAAGGGAACAACACTGGCTAATCTCCAGTCTTCTGGAACTTTGCCTGTGATCAAAGAGGATGTGAAGATATCTGCTCAGACTCTAGCTATTTCTTCCCTTGCCTCTCGCAGTAACCCGGGGTAGGATTGAATCTGTGCTGAATTGTAGATGTGCAACTTAGAGCATTCCCTGTACCATACACCACCCATTCACCCACTCACCCACCCCTGTGTGAAAATGATGGTGGTTGGGTTCGAAGTTGTGACATCTAGACTTGTGCATCTGCTGTTATTTTTGCCAAAATGGAGAGCACCTCCATTTATACAAAACTTTAGGCCTCAGAAATTATTTTGGTGAGATGTTATCCTGGTGCCCCATATTGGATGGAGACTGTGTACACCAAGCATCATAAGGATAAAGGAAGGTGGGTCATTGCACAGGAGGAATGACAAAGTGAGGAAGAAGTACAGGAAGGTAGAGATTAACTGAAGCAGAAGGAGAGGTGGAGAGGAAAAACAGACAAAGGAGAACAGTCAGATGGGGCGAGATAGGGAGATGAGAGAGAGAGAGTTGGACAGAAGGAGAAAGGAAAGGTAGACATGAGAGAGAAAAAGAGACGGATGGAGAGGCAGACAGACAAAGAGACTTAAGTTGCAGGGGGACTGGGAGAGAGACCAAAGAGAAGAGAGAGACACACTGATTAAAGGGCAGAAAAATTGTGATTAAAAAGAAAGATGCTCAGAGAGAGCAATTGACAGATGGACAAGGTGAAAAGATTGGAAGTGGAAAGGTTGTTTTCTCCTTGCACAATGGGAAGAGATGCAGAGAGAGAGAGAGAGAGAGATAGAAATAGAAACATAGGGGGGAGACAAGAGTTGGAGCGTATGTAAGAGAAACAGCAAACAGAAAAAGAAGTGTAAAGATTTGAATGGAGAGGGATGAGTGTGTTGGGTTTGGGGATAGGGGAAATTAGGATGGGGGTTTACTGTCCCTAGCACCCCTCCTTCCCTCTTCAGTTCAAGCTGAGAAGCAGAGACGAGGAAACTGGAGAGTTGGAATGTCCTGGGGGTCAGATTGAGCTAAAAATCATTGACTGAAATATTCAACTTTCTAATTGAGGATTTGGAGTCTTTTATGATTACCCAAATCATTTGGTCAAATTTACAGTTATTTCAAGATGTGCTGGGAAACTCTTAGCTTTTGACACTGTAATAATACATCTTCCCTGGAATGAAAGGTAAAGTCACCATAGTACGCTGTCATTAAAAAACGGTGACTGGTGGTTGTTTAATCTAGTCACCACACCTCAGGCAGCGGGGTTTGGTTCAGAAGGAGAGTCCTTTGTGTCAGTTGGTGTGAGAATTGAACCCACACTGTTGGCATCCCTCTTCATCACAATCTAGCCATCCAGCCAACTGAGTATAACCAGACACATTTTTCCATAATCTTTTTCCATGCACTTCCATAATCTACCTTCCCTCCCTGTGTCTGCCTGCTCCCTGAAACTTTCTTCGGTCAGACTATCCCTGCAGAGATTTGACACCCTCTTTGTCCTTTAAAACAGTCACTGACACACTGTGATTAGGTAACAGTTGCTTTATACGTTAGGGCTCCTGCTCACTGATTATCTCAGTAAATCCCTGTTAGACCCAGCATCCAAATCCCATGTCCAATAATATACAGCCTTTCTACGGAAAGTTCCTTTGCAGTAACAGCATCCAGAAACCTTCATTGTAATCGCCTGGTGTCTCTCAGTCCCCTCTGTGTCAAAGTTCTATCTGTCTACTGACTGGTGTGTCTCAGTCCCCTCTCTGTCAGAGAGATATTTTTACACTGACTGGTATCCTTCAGTCCTCTCTTTCTCTGGGAGATGTCTGTACAGTGCCTGGTGTGTCTCAGTGCTCCCTCTTACTGAGAAATATCTATACACGACTGGTGACTGTCTGTCCCCTTGCTGTCTCTCTCCAGAGTATAACATTGTGCATGCAAGTCTGGCATATCATTAAGCAACAGGTATCACACTTCTGGGTCCTGGATTTGAGGCCTATTTAGGCCAACACTCCAGAGTCAGCACTGAGGGGCCACTGCACTGTCAGAGGCACCGTTTTTCAGAATGTAATGCTGTGTCCAATCGGGTCTCTTAGTTGAACATGAGTCCCACAATTGCTTTAGACAATCTCCTTGATAGCCTACTCGTTATTCAGTTCTGAACAAACTGCACTTTAAAAAAAGCAGAGTATCTAGTCATAAGCATGTTGCTATTTGTGCAATCTGCTTGTACTTTAATCCAACATTCTCCTAGCTTTAGTGCTTTGCAAACTTCAACTCATTCAGAACAGTAGCCCTCATCTTACCAAGTACTTTCGCCCCTGTGCTCGATAATCTTCAATAACTCTTGTCCTGTAATCAGTTCAGGAAAAAGTTTCGCTTTCCTTTGTTTAACCTACTTATGATTCTTTCAATGTCTTTCCCCTCTCCCTCTTTTTCCCTCCCTGATTCTCCTCTCCTTCCTTCCCTTTCTTTCTCTCCTTCCATTTCTCTCCCTATTTTCTTGCTCCTAACCTCCTTCCTGCTCTCTCTTGTCTTGTTCTCTTTTCTCTCTGTCTTTCTTTCTTCTCTGTCTCCTTCCCTCTATCACTCTTCCCTCACTCTTTCCATATTTTCCCTTTCTGTCCATTCCCCTCTTAATACTTTCCTTCCCCACCCCTGTCTGTCTTTCTTTCCTTTGCCCCTTTCCACCCCTCCTCTCTGTCCCACCTTCCCTCACTCTTCTTCCACCCTCCTCCCCCCCTACTTTTTCTCCTTTTCCCAACCAAGTGTCTGCAAGGATGGGGGACTGGGAAGGGTGCGGGATCTCGCTTCCTTCCGCAAGCACTTCCGAATGGGTTTCATGACCATGCCAGCCTCCCAGGAGCATGGGCCACACCCATGTGCCAGCGGAATGACCACCCGCTCGCTGTCACTTCACTCAGTGGGTAGTGTGGAGAACGGCGAACACTCCTGCACCAGGAGACCTCCAAGCAAGCCCAGGCGCCATCCCAGCACCAAACTCAGCCTGTGCCCTGAGGGCAGGAGCAGCAGTGGAGACGAAGGACTTGGATCAAAGGGCGAGAAAGGTGAGAAATACTGGGCCACGTACCACGCCATGTGTGTCAGAACTTCATTCACTGTGCTTTCAAATGCCTTCTCCATGCTTCTAGCTTCCAGCCCTTTCTACAGCATTGTTTACTGTTCTCCAAGTCCACAACAGGCTTAACCAATCCAATACAGTGAGCAGCAATAGTAAACAGACTCATAATCAGACGTAGGACAGTTGATAACTGCAGATCCCATAGCCACTATTGTAAGAAGAATATGAGGGTGGAATTCACGCCAGTGCTTTGTGGATAATGTTCATTCCTCAGCTGACACCACATTAAAAACCAAGGTGACTGGCCATTGAAGTTTGTGGGACCTTGCAGTGTTTTCTAGCAACACTTCAGGATGACTAACTTTGGTTGAAAGATGCTCGGGAGGGTAAAGCGTGGAGAGAGGTGCTAGAGATTGGTAAGTGCTTCCTTCGGGTCTCTTCAACATGGCACCCATGGTTTCTGTCCAGGAAGCAGAACTTACCTGTCTTTCTCTTCTCCTTCTAGTGATACAGAGACCAAGCCTTGAGGCAGTGGATAGCGGGCGGAGGATGCCACCACTAAAGCCGAAGCGTAGCCCCAACACCCAGCTCTCCGTGTCCTTCGATGAACCCTCTGCTGGCAGGGCAGTCTCTCAGCCTGTGACATCTGCGCCCAGGTACAGTACACCTGCTGAGCCTTCCTGCGGCTCAGAGGAAGAGGTGGAAGATGAGGAGGAGGGAGAGGAAGAGCCAGTCTACATTGAAATGGTCGGAGATGTTTTCAAAGAGCAGAGTGCAGTTGATGAAGATTCAGACCACGGTGAGGCCATCTACGAAGAAATGAAGTACCCACTACCTGAGGAGGCCACACGGGAAGCGAAGTGGAGCAAGTTTGTCCTCCCAAAACCCAATACAACCAGGGCTTTGAGCCAAGGGGGTCCCAAGGACCCTTACCAGGCTGACTCCAGAGGCTCACCCCACGACATTCCTCCCCCTTTTCCAAACCTTCTCCTGCACCGTCCACCCCTCTTGGCCTTCCCTCAGTCAGCCTCCCAGAAGGCCTGCAAGGCTCCCCTTCCCCTTGCTGTCGCCAGCCAGCCTGGCTCCAAGCTCCCTGTCCTGCAGCATGGTGACTCAGCCCCCACCCCAGGAGGTGCCCAGTCTGCTGGGCAGCCGACTTCCAGAGTGCAGAAGGAGGACGGGTCACATCAGGGTGCCATGGTGCCTTCAGGGAGGGCGAGAAGCCACTCAACACCCCTTCCCCCACAAGCATCTAGTCAGCACAGGCCAGATAAGGAGCTGCCCACCTCCCACACCATGAAGGCTTTGGCCCAGTCAGCATCAGCAGGCCCTCAGGCCCATGTTTATCAGAAGGCTGAGAGGGACAAGCCCCCCTCGCTCAGTGTCATGTGCTCCTCCATGAAAGTCACGACCCACTCACTGCTCACCCAGGCCTCTGGTGACCAGAAGATGGACAAGGAACTCTCAAGTCTACAAAGTGTATTCTGCTCCATCAGTAAAGCCGGCACCCCCTCCCGGCCTCTGTCCAGCCTCTATAAGATGCCTGTGGCGCATGGGCTACTGGAGCACCCTAACCTGCCTGGCCCAGGCTCCCTGGTGTGGCCTTACCTCCCGCTGGCTTGCAAACGCCCTCCAGCCTATGACAGTCTCAAGCCTAGCTCAGCCCAGAAGGTCTGCCCCGCTGTCTACCATGCGACGGTGAAGACCCAAGGACAGGACAGAGCCCCAGCCTTCACCAGCATCTGCTGCCCCCGTTCAGTCACCAACTCAGAGGCACGGAGCCCCCCTGGGGAGGCTAGCTCTGGGCACAGTTGGCAACGAAATCTGCCTTGCAGCAGGAAGGCACAGGACCCAGAAGGTAAACTGACTTGGGAAAGGTTTGAGTGTTTCGAACACTGTTGAGGGAGGTGGGGTGCAGTTAGACGTGGGGATTAAGTGGCATGATCCTAAGGTTGATAGGATTGATATGATTTGATGTATTAATGTCATATGTACTGAGGGTACAGTGAAAAGTGTTGTCTTACGTGCTTTACAGGCAGATCATACTATGCAAGTGCATCAAGGTAATAGAGTGCAGGATACAAGGTGCAGAGAGGGATCAACATTAACGTTTTGAGAGATCCGTTCAAAAGTCTGATAACAGCAGGGAAGAGGCTGTTCTTGAATCTGTTTGTACGTGAATAGAAACCTTCTGCCAGACAGAAGAGGGTGGGAGGGATCTTTGATTATGTTGGTTGCTTTCCTGATGCAAGCGGAAGTCTAGATGAAGTCAGTGGGTAGGAGGCTGGTTTTCACAATAGACTGGGCTGTGTTCACAACTCTCTGTAGTTTATTTTGGCCTTAGGAAGAGCAGTTGTCATACCACATTGTGATGTACCCAGATAGGATGCTTTCTGTGGTGCATCTATAAAAAAATTTGTCTTTATGGACATGTCAAATTTCCTTAGCCTCCTGAGAATCTAGAGGCATTGCTGTGTTTTCTTGGCTGTAGCATCAATGTGGGTTGACCAGGACAGATTGTAGGTGATCATCACTCCAGGAACTTGACGGTCTCAACCACCTCCACCTCAGCACCGGTGATGCAGGCAGGGTGTGCCCTTCACTCTGCTTTCTGAAGTCCATGACCAGCTCCTTTGTTTTATTGATGTTGATGGAGAGATTGTTGTCTTTACAATATGTTGTTAAGTACTTTATCTCCTTCCTGTACTCCGTCTCGTTGTTTGAGATCGGACCCACAATAATGGTGTCATCAGCAAACTTGTAAACGGAGTTGGATGTGGAACTTGGCCACACAGTCGTGTGTGTATAAGGAGCATAGTAAGGGGCACCAGTGTTGAGGATTATCATGGAGGAGGTGTTCTCACCTATCCTTACTGACTGTGGTCTGTTGGTTCTCAAAATCAAGAACCTAATGACAGAGGTGGGGAGCAGAGAGCTGGCTCCCAGAATTTGGAGATAAGTTTGTTTGGAATCATGGTGTTGAAGTCAGAGCCACAGTAAGTAAGTACAAACCTGATGTAAACATTCTTGACCAGGTATTCCAGGGGTGGATGTAGGGCCAGGGAGATGGGCTCTGTCATGGACCTGTTTTGCCATTGGCAAATTGCAAGGGATCAAGGCAGTCTGGGAGGCTGGAGTTGTTTGTGAGCCAAGACCAGTGTCTCGAAGCACTTCATAATTATGGATGTTAGAGCCACCGGGCAATAGTCATTGAGGCATGCTATGTGATTTTTCTTTGGCAGTGGGATGCTGGTGGTCTTCTTGAAGCAGGTGGGGACTTCAGGTCATAGTAAGGAGAGGTTGAAGATGTCTGTGAATACTCCCGCCTGCTGGTCCGCACAGGATCTGAGTACGCAACCCGGGCCTCCATCTGGGCTGATCACTTTCCATAGTTCACCCTTAAGAAGGCCGAACTTACATCTGCACCGGCGACTGATGGTACAGGTGCATCCAAAGCTTACGGCACAGGTGATATAGTTTCGCTGCCCTTCTGTTTAAAGCGAGTGTAGAATGCACTAAGGCAATGTACAGTGGACAATTTTCAGTCTGAATTCTTCCCCCAACACAATTCCTGTGTCAGCAACTATGGTTCCAATGATTTGAGACGTTCTGGAATACCATTCCTTTAACTGCTGAAGAGAGGGACATTTTGCCACAATTTTCCATCTTGCACTTATCAGGGCAAATAGAAGAATGCCAAATTTCAAACAATCACAACAGTTCATACTAAAATAAAATAAAAGAACTGCAAAAGCTGGAGATCTGAAACAAGAACGGAAATTGCTGGAGAAACTTGGCAGGTCTGGTAGCATCTGTGAAGAGAAAGCAGAGCTAACATTTAGAGTACAGTAATACTTCTTCAGATCTATTTATACAACTAGAGAAAAGAGGGTTATTTGGTTGGCAACTTAGGAGATATGGTTAGTAAGTTTGCAGATGACACTAAAATTAGATGTGTAGTGGACAGCAAAGAAGGTTACCTCAGAGTACAGTGGGATCTTGATCAGATGGGTCAATGGACTGAGGAGTGGCAGATGGAGTTTAATTTAGATAAATGTGAGGTGCTGCATTTTAGAAAGGCAAATCATGGCAGGACATACACTTAATGGTAACGTCCTGGGGAGTGTTGCTGAACAAAGAGACCCTGCAGTGCAGGTTCATAGTTCTTTGAAGGTAGAGTTGCAGGTAGATAGGGTAGTGAAGAAGACATTTGGTGTGCTTGTCTTTATTAGCCAGTGCATTGAATATAGGAATTGGGAGGTCATGTTGCAGCTGTACAGGACATTGGTTTGGCCATTTTTGTAGTAATGCATGCAATTCTGGTCTCCCTCCTTTTGGAAGAATGCTGTGAAACTAGAAAGGCCTCAGAAATATTTGAGGATGTTGTGCCAGAGTTGGAGGGTTTGAGCTATAGGGAGAGGCTGAATAGCCTGGGGCTATTATCTCTGGAGTGTTGGAGGCTGAGGGGGTGACCTTTAGAGGTTTATAAAGTCATGAAGGGCATGGATAGGGTAAATAAGTGAGGTGTTTTCCCTGGGATGGGGGAGCCCAAAACTAGAGGCATAGGTTTGAAGTGAGAAGGGAAAGACAGAAAAGGGACCTAAGGGGCAACGTTCTCTCGCAGAGAGTGATGTGTGTATAGAACGAGCTGCCAGAGGAAGTGGTGGAGTCTAGTATGATTACAACATTCAAAAGGCATCTGGATAGGTTTATGAATAGGAATGGCTTACAAGAATAAGGGCTAAATGCTGAGAAATGGGACTAGATTTACTTAAGATATCTGGTCGGCATGGACAAGTGGGACCGAAGACTCTGTTTCTGTGCTGTATATCTCTATGACTCTAACTTGATTTATTGGTTGAAGCGTTACCATGAAAAAAGCAATAAGGAAATACATGTCCCCAAAATTAATGGTTAATCCCAAAGAGGCACGTGGCTCAAATGTGTTCTTTTATTTGTAGAGAACTGGGCTTGGCATCTGAATGTACGTCACCCCTAGCGAGTGTAAATGTGTGACACTGAGAGCTCAGCTGTTTCTCTTAAATTGGCTGTTGATGTTGCCACAAGTATGCATGGGATTGTTCAGCAAATGATGTCCAATTGCAGAATTTTGTTTTGGGATTTGCCAGCCTGGGATGGTTGAGTACAGTCTGGACTCTGACAGACTGGGAGGTGTGTGCAGCAAGTCAGCATCACTGTGGAACAGACTGAGTAAGAGAAAAGAAGAAGCTGCACTTCTAAAACAGGACAAGCATGTGGAGAGAGTAGCTTCTTAAGAAGGGGATGAGAGGAGAGACAGTAGCTTCATAAAGAGGAAATAGAGCAGAGTCAACTGTTTCATAAAGCGAAGAGCAGACCCGTGAGAAGAGCAGTGACAGTGGGAGATTGCTTTCTTCTTTTCTTTCAAAGAGCGGCCCTTCAACTTGTTTCTTCTGATGAGAACCAATATGTGACATAACAGGAAGATGAGATTGGTGGGTATTTCATCCACTTCTTTTTTTTTGACCTGATTAACTTCAATAATGTCTCCTGATTTAAAGCAAAGATTACAGTTGAAAAAAAAACACCTTTAATATATTTAATACCCCAATTAATTCATTGCCTACCCAGCCAGTTCTATTCCATTCAATGTGTTGCAGCTATAGTATGTGGGAGCTGGTGGTTGATAGTGTGATAAATAGGATAGACATGAAAGTGTGCTGTTTGATTTGATCAGCCATTGCACAGTTTAGTGTTATTCATGAAACAGTTCCCTGGATAGAGGATTGCCTTCTGCCAGTCAACCAGAGAGTGGGGATAAAGGAGTCTTTTTCAGATTGCAGCTGGTGACTAGTAAAGTTCTGCAGGGATTAGTGTTGGGACCACAACTATTCACGTTATACATCAACGATCTTTATAAAGGGACTAAAGACATTTTGCTAAGTTTGCAGATGACACAAAGATAAATGGAAGAACGAAGGAGTGGCAGATGGAATGCAATGTGGCAAAAGCTGAGGTTATGCGTTGTGATAGGGAGAATAGCGGTGAGGACTATTTTCTAAACAGAGAACAGCTTCGGAGATTTGAAGCACAAAGGGACTTGGAAGTCCTCGTTCAGGATTCTCTGAAGGTTAATATTCAGGTTCAATTAGTGGTTAGGAAGACAAATGGAATGCTGGCATTCATTTAAAGAAGGCTAGGATACAAGAGCAGATATATAACCCCAGCAGTACAAGGCTTTGGTCAGACAGCATTTGGAATATTGTGAGCAGTTTTGGTCCCAGTATCTAAGGAAAGATGTGCTGGCATTGGAGGGTGTCCAGAGGAGGTTTATAGGAATGATCCCAGAGATAGAGGGCTTGTCATATCAGGAGCAGTTGAGGACTCTGGCTGTGTACTCAGTGGAATCTAGGATGAGAGGTGATCTGGTTGAAACTTATAGAATACTGAGGGGACCGGAAAGAGTAGATGTGAAGAAGACATTCCAATAGTAGGAGAGACTAGGATCCAGACGCACAGCCTCAGGGTGAAGCGATGACGTTTTGAACTAAGATGAGGAGGAATTTCTTCATCCAGAATGTGGCTAATCTATGGAACTCATTGATGCAGAAGGCCATAGAGGCCAAATCATTGTACTTTTGATTTCTTGATTAGTTAGAGGATCAAAGGTTATGGCGAGAATGCAGGAGAATGAGTTTGAGAAACATGTCAGTCATTGTCAAATGGCAAAGCAGACTCAATGGGCTCAATGGCCTAATTCAGCTTCTATAAATTATAGAATCCCTACAGTGTGGGAACAGGCCCTTTGGCCCAACAAGTCCATACCGACCCTCTCAGCATCCCGGCCAGACCCATCCCCCTATAACCCACCTCATCTACACATCCCTGAACACTATGGGCAATTCAGCATGGCCAATCCACCTAGCCTGCACATCTTTGGACTGGAGTAACTGAAGGAAACTCACGCAGACACTGGGAAGAAAGTGCAAACTCCACACAATTTTCTGAGGGTGTAATTGAACCCGGGTCCCTGGTGCTGTGAGGCAGTGGTGCTAGCCACTGAGCCACATGCCACCCAAATTGTTGTGATCATTTGCCATTTGGCATTCTTGTGTTCATTCGGATGTGTAGGAGCAATTTCTGAAGAAGGGTCTAGACCCGAAACGTCCGCTTTCCTGCTCCTCTGATGCTGCTTGACCTGCTGTGTTCATCCAGCTCTACACCTTGTTATCTCAGATTCTCCAGTATCTGCAGTTCCTACTATCTCTGTAGGAGGAATTGTTTTGCTGCTATTTACAGTAGGATTCAGGTCTAAATTGCCAAACAACTTAGCCCTTCCTTATCTTAGCCCTCTGCTGAGGACGGGCTGAGTCAGTGTCTTCTGATTTGATTCTGTTTGATTCCAAGGGATGATGAGGAATCGGTCACTGAGCGAGCAGGTGGCCACAGTTAGGCCCACGTCCTAAAATGACTTCACTAGTTTTTGGAAGGAGGTCATGAGTTGACAGTCACAATAGGGTCCTACGTCCCTGAGTAAAGGAAAAGGGCCATTTAGCCAGGGCAATCCTTTTGGTGATTATCCAGTGGGTTTTTCTGTCTATCTGCATGCATGTGTATTCCTCCATGTATCAGTGTGGTCAGGTAAGAGAACGGGTTAGCAACCGATTGAGAAATCACACAACCCCACCCCTGTGGTTATGCTCCCATTGGCTATTGACTTTGAGCTACCTAGTCAAAACCATGGTGTTGGCCAATTTTCAGTTAAATTCAACATTGCAAAATTTGTTCTTGTCTTGCAAATGGCATGTTCCAGTCTAACCCCTCCCAGAGGAGTGGTCAGGCAGCTGGACTGATCTGGGGATGCAGGTGTCACTCAGGCATTGCTGTGCTGGAGTCGAGGCCATTTAGCGGGAAGACTCTCTGAGGTGGGAGAGTGCTTCCTTCAAAGGCTAAGCACGCCAGGTTGGATTTGAGATCTTCCCTGCTGAGCCTCTGCCTTCCTGACAGTACGTGGCCAATCCTCCCACAGCCAGTGAGGCTCCATTACTCCAGCCCACAAGTTACCAAGTTCAAATGTGACAGCACCCAAAGAGACCAATTAGTCGCACTCTTCTTTCTCCCCATAACTACTTCAAAGGCATTCATAAGTGCAAGTTAAGTTTGTTTCACCCCTTGCTTGTTGAACTACCTGAGAGTGCTTCCATTTTGCCACCAGGAGGTGCCCCTGGCTGGATTGGAGCCAATGAATCCATTGACCAGGAGGAGAATGCTTCGGGAATACCACTGAAAACTCAGGGAGCAGAGGGCTGTACAGTCAAGGGACCCTCGCGATCGGGGCTGCCCCAACCCTGTCCAATGACTTGCCAACGAAGTGTAGGTAGGTTGGCTGGCTCAGGGCGATTGGCTCACTGCTTGGCCAACTTTTTAAAGTGGCCTGACAGACAATTACCACCTCCATTCACTCCCAACCACACTTCATTGTTCTGCATCCCTCCTAGAAGACATATTTGTTAATCTGCCATATGTATACCCATATGGTCACACTATGTAATGTGTGGGACATTGTAGTCTACCAAAACTTGTGGATACTGATCAGAAATTCGATCCCCATCCTATTTGTTTGCCTGCTTCCTGGGTCAGGTGATGTAACTATTTGCAGGGTAGCCCCATCCTCCTCTGTACTCCGCACCACTCAACATCATCCAAATGAGGAACAAAAACAAAGTTGCTGGAAAAGCCTAGAGGCCTTTCTGCAGCAGCGAGCCATGTAAATAGAGTCCCTGGATAGAAGGTTGGCTTCCGTGATGGTCTGGGCTGTGCACACCACCTTCTGTAGTTTCTTACGGTCCTGGGCAGAGCAATTGCCATACCAGGCCATTGTGCACCCGGACAGTATGCTTTCAGTGGCGCATCTGTAGAAGTTGGTGAGGGACCTTATGGACATGTCAAATTTCCTGAGCCACCTGAGGAAGAACAGGCATTGTTGTGCCTTCTTGACTGTCACATTTAGGTGGGAAGTCCAGGACCGGTCATTGGTTTTGAGTTCTCCATGATCCTCCTTGTTCACATTTCTGCTTGACCCTCTTCTCCCTCTTTCTTCCTTTCTAGACTCTGCACTCAGCCATCGCCTCGGTCGTTCAGCCTCCACCTCAGGTGCGCGTCACCCTCTTGCTCATCTGCAGCGACAGTGCAGTCAATCCCGAGACTCCCCGAGCCAGGTAGGAATGACAATTGACTCCCCAGCAGCAACAGTGAAACTGACCAGCGAGAGAGAAGTAGAGACACAGAAACATGAAGAGAAAGATAGAGGGGTGGAAAGAGGGAGAAGGATGCAGTGCATGAGCATTAGGTGAAACAGATGGACATGAGAGACAGTGTGAAACAGACATTTGAGACAGAGTGAGAGAACAAGAAAGAGGTAGGAAAGAAATAGAGACAGAGACCTAGTGATAAAGTGAAGGGAGAGAGAGAGAGAGAGATCAATCAATGTAGTCTTTTGGAACCAGAAAGAGAAAGATAAGTGGTCAGAGGGGCAGAGGGAGAGATAATGTCTCCTAAAGATCAATGAACTGTTTCTGAAGAATAGTCACTATGTGAGGCAGAAATATGACAACCATTTTATTTCCCACAAACAGCACATGAAACGAAGAGAAGTTTGAGTTTAACCCAATAGTCGGCTCCAGTATTAGTCAGGGATCAGCTATTACATTAGAAGATCGTAAGTTCAAGTCCCGTCTAATAGATTATAACACTATGTCCAAGCTGATATGCCGGTGTGTAACTGAGGGTGGACTGCATTGTTAGGCCTTTTCTTTGGGGAGACAAATAGCATCCATTCCACAGAACTGCCAGATAATGACCATCTCCAACAAGAATGAATATTAGTTAGATTCTTTGGCATTACCATCACTAAATCCTGCCACTATCAATATACTGGAAGTTACCATTGACCAGAAACTTAACTGGACCAACCATATAAATACAGTGGCCGCAAAAGCAGGTCAGAACCTGGGAATCTGAGTAGCTCACTTCCTGACAGCCTATAAGGTCCAAGTCAGTACATTGGAATACTCTCTGCTAGCCTAGATGAGTGCAGCTCCGACAACACTCAGGAAGTTTAACACCATCCAAGACAAAGCAACCTATGTGATTGGCACCGTATCCACAAATATCCATTCCTTCCACCACGGATGCACAGTAACAGCGTTGGGTACCATCTACAAGTCATAACTCACCAAGGCTCCTTCAACAGCCACTTCCAAACCCATGATCTCTGCCATCTAGAAGGGCGAAGGCAGCAGATACATGGAGCCACCATCACCTGCAAGTTCCCCTCCAAGCCATATGCCAGCCTGACTTGGAAGTGTATAGCAATTCCTTCTATCAAAATCCTGGAACTCCTTCCCTAAAAGCATTTTGAGTGGCCCAACACCCCAAGAGTTGTAACAGCTCAGCACCACTTTCTCCAGGACATGTAATGTTGGAAATGCCAGGCTAAGTGCTGGTGCTCGTGTCCTGTCAAAGAATGAAAATGAAGCAATGTATTTATCTCCTGGTCATTGCTAGAGTTGGTTAGGATCTTGCTGTACTCACACTGGCTGTCCTTTTTCCTATGTTACAACAATGACTGCATCCCAGTAAAAGGACTGCATTGGATTTTGAGATGTCTTGTCATTATGAAAGGTACTAAATAAATACAGGTCTTTTCCTCCTCACTAATTGTATGGAGAAGTCTGTGACTCCTAGATTGAAATCCCACACCTGTGAGCCACTGCAGGACTGCAGTTGGACGTTCCTCTAAACTGGAGGCCTTCTTATTTCTGTATGGAGCAACATAGGCAGGTTAATGAATCTTGTGGAGGAATAGAATTGAATCTTGGTTTGCTTGCCCTTTAGGTTTTGAGGGACTCATAAGTCCGATGCATGATCTACAGACGCTGACTGCCGTATGTGGGGCTGCTGCACTGTGTATTGGACATGGGAATTGGAGGCCATTCAGATTCCCAAACCTGTTGTACCATTGCAGTTTGTCCTGGGCTGGTCTGTGTTTTGTCCCTACATTGGTCCCATAACGCAGACTCCCCCTTGACTAACAGCAATCGATCAACCAGAGTTTTTTAATTTCCAACTGACCCCCACTTCACCAGCCTCAACAGCTTGTGGGGGAGAGAGTTTCCATTTTCCCACGCCCCTTTGTGTGGGGTGATATTCCTGACATTACCCCGCAATGGCCTGATTCAGATTTTGAGGTCCTGCCCACACCCACCTGAAGAAATAGTTTCTCTCCATCAACCCTTGAAAATTTTTAATCATCTCGAGGCTGATTCCAGGGATGGCGGGTCTGACTTATGAGGAGAGATTGACTAGTTTGGGGATTGTTTCTGCTAGAGTTCAGACGAATGACGGAGGATCTCCTAGAGACTAACAGATTCATAGAGACTAACATAGATTCTAACAGGACTGGGCAGGGTAGATACAGGAAGGATGTTCCCGACATTGGTTGTTTCCAGCACCAGGGGTCACAGTATGAAAATTCGAGGTTGAAGATTTAGGACGGAAATAAGGAGACATTTCTTCACCCAAGGAGTGGTGAGCCTGTGGAATTCATTACCACAGGGAGTATTCAAGAGGCGACAAGATATAGCACTTGGGGCGAATGGGATCAAAGGTTATGGGAGAAAGCAGGATTAGGCTATTGAGTTGGATGATCAGCCCTGATCGTGAAGAATGGCAAAGCAGGCTCAAAGGCCGAATGGCCCTCTCCTGCTCCAATTTTCTATGTTTGTTTGAGCCTTTTGTGATCATTCTTTAATATTCTAAACCGGGAATACAAGCAGAGGCTGTGCAACCTTACCTCGCAATTTAACTCTTTGAACTTCCACATCGTTCTGGTGACTCTGCAATGCTCCCTCTCGAAGGCCAATACCTCTCTCCTGAGAAGCGGACCCCTGGCTAAACCCAATGGTACTTGCTTACTGTATTAATGCTGTTTGGGTGCAGTGTGCTAGACCTTTAAGATCATTATGCAGCATTTTAAAGGAGATATGCATTGTGTGTGGCCTGTTAGTTAGACGGAGCGGTTTGTTTCAGAAATTTTAAGGAAGCAGTGCTCCAGACAGGGCTGACTGGTGCTTAAATACAGCTTTTGTTTTAAATCTCTTGTTTTGCCAGTTAAGTTTTAAACGGAGTTAAAATGAAAAGCTTCAACACATGTTCCTTTCTACCTTGACAGGGTCTTCAGCAACAAGCACTGCGAGAGAAGGATGGGAAGCTCCTGGAGGTTATTGAGCATAAACGATGCCTGTGCAAGGAGATCAAAGCGCGACGAAGGCCGGAAAGGAGCCTATGCAAACAGGACAGTATGCCTATCCTCCCGAGTTGGAAGAAAGGCTCGGATTCTCGGAAAACCGGGACACCTCCATGCCAACGGCAACACACTGTCCTCTGGGACACAGCGATTTGACAGTGCCAGTTTCTTCCTTCTGCCCTTACCCCCAACCCAAACCTAGGAGCAAAGGGCAAGCCTGCAACCTTCGAACTCCACAGACTCAATCATTGGGCTTGTAGGTCATCAGGTTTCATCATGGGGCCTGAAGTAGCCCTGATTGTAAATCATTTGGGAGACTCCCTGATAACAAACCAACCCCCAAAATTCAGTCTTCGCTTCACCAATTCTCAGCCCCATGCCCTGCTCCCTCCCTTAAACCCTTCATTATTTCTTCTACTCTGAAACAGAATGAGCCTTCAGAAAACTGCATATATCAGCAAAAATAAAACCCAGGCTAACAGGCCCAACAAGTGATCTCTGCATCATGTCACACTGAACTAACCAATCGATAATAGAGAAAACAGTGCAAGCAAGTGGTGGAAAGCATGTCCATTGAACAGACAGCTTGTTGCCACCCACAGAGGACAAAGATCAGCCTTCACTGGTGCTTGATATTTGACACATTGATTTGCTAATGAGTCAGAAAATGAGGGCAAGAACCTTGATTGTTTATTGATGTCCGAAGAACTGGAGAGACATAGAAGATAGCTAGGCCAGTCCCTCTGTCAGGGACAACACGTCACTGACTCTGGCCCGCCTCATACAGGGGAAAAAATGCTCCAATGATCTCGCCAACCCTATCCCCCACCCCAGCTGCCACCCCATGCCAATTAAAAATCCAGAATGGTCCAAACCCTTAGCCCTGCATCCCACATTACCCCAGTGTCTACAGTGACTCGGGCCAGTTACTTATTGAGCAAGTCTGCTTTGAAATGGGAGTCTGGCAACTGAAGTGATATCAAATTTGAGGCCTGCATGAGAACTGGGCATCAAGTAATATAGTGAGAGCAGTGAGTTCAAGGGGGTAAAATCAGATGTGGTGCCAATGGAAAGAGGGCTGGACAAGGGGTGCCATGACCTAAAGTCAGGGAATGAGAGAGATTTAGAGAGAAAAAGAAAGAAGCGGGACTCCCTGCAATCAATAACAGCCTCAGCCAGTGTTGTTCAGCACGGTTATGTGCATTCAAGAACATAATGGATATCATGGGAAACACTGAGGAATTAACAGCCACTGTGATAGAGAATGTTCAGTCCTAAATTCACCTCCCTCAGAACAAAAAGATTTTGGAAGGTGGTGAAATGGAGAAAGTCAACAGTGGCATTATCTGCCCTGGGTGTGTTTGGGGACAGTGTAGAGATGGCTTTATTTAAAGTTTAAAAGTGTATGGGAAACTTTAATCTATTTAACCCCATGCTGTACTTGTCCTGGGGGTGTTTGATGAGATGGTATCAAAGAAGCTTTACTTGCCGTTTAAAAGAGTAGAGAAACCTTTACTTTCATCTAACTAGTCTCATGCTGTACCTGTCTTGGGAGTGTTTGCTGGGAGTATTTACAAATTCTGTGTGGAGGCATGTGTTCTAGTCCTCAGCCAGCAAGACAGCTTTTGGAGTGATGGGGACAGTGAGTTGTGATATAGTTGGCCTCAGTAATCAAGGCAATAATGAATAAAATCAACCTGGGTATCATGCTTGTTATACTATCCTGTGAACCCTGTCCTCTGGCTCCACTGTTGTGGGTGTGAGCTGCTTTGAATAGTGCAGGGTTGGCACTGATCCAGACCCCTTCATTCCTGATCCACTGTGGCCAGGACATCTGGAAATCTACCACACCTTGGGGCCCAATCTATAGGGATTGGTCAGAACTTCCTCTGTATAAATGTCATGTTAAACCACTTTTTGTTTCTCACTCTAGGCCTTTCACGAGACTATTTCTAACTGAATCTGCCATGTGTCTGTTTTACCATTAGTATCTGACTTTTTTTTTCCAGTCTGTGTATGCACCTGTCAATGTCTGTCTATCTCTGTCTTCCTGTGAGTCAATGTCTGACTGTATCAGTGTCCATCTGTATGTGTTTGTTTGACTCTGTCTGTTTATGTGCACCTGTGTCTATCTTTGCCCATCTCTCTTTGTATGTGTCTTTTCAGTATGTCCAATTATGTATCTTTGTACACATATGCTTGTCTCCATTTAATTGGCAACCATGTCAGCTCTTGTCAACTGTTCTTAAAAGCCCATCTGGTTCACTAAATGCCCTTTAGAGAGGGAAATCTGCTGTCCTTACCTGGTCTGACCTACATGTAACTCCACAGCATTGAGGTTGACTCTTAACGCTGTCTGAAATGGCTGAGCAAGCCACTAAGTTTAAGAGGCAATTAGGGAACGGCAATAAATGTTGGCAGTGCCCAGCAACACCCACATCCCATGAAGAAGTAAACACAACATGTAACTGATGTGTTCATTATCTGATGGGACATGTGCATCAAGGTGCTGGGGAAGCATAACCCCAAAAAAAGCCCACCTATCCTGGGAGTCTCTCACAATATGAGACATGAACCGGGCTGTTCCCAGGCTGTGTGAGCCTTGCCCTCCTGCCTCCTTTCAATCCTATCTACAGTATACTGAAGCCTCACTGCGCTGCTGATCTGTGACTTTTCAAATGAAACAGAACCAATCACCCTACTCATTGCCCAGTACTTACTCATGTATTTACTCCAAGCCCTGGTTGATGAATTCCATCTGACATATTTGACTGGACATTTTACTAAATTGCGGTGAATTTTCTAGCTCCCCACTTCTGCAGGTCCTACCTCAGCTGGCTGGGTGGTTCCCATCATTACCTGCTATCCTCAACTGGTGCATTTGAGCAACCTGTCTTTAACCTGCATCTATGCCAGCTATTCTACAAAATGAGATGGCACTTCCTGTCCCACCTGCTCATTGATGCTTTGCTTTCAATAACTATAGAGCTTATTCTGCTACATCCCTAATTCCAAATGATACACACGTTTGCTGGTGCTAGTCTAACTTGCCTTGCTCATCTCAAAATGGAGATCCAGCATGACCAGTGCATTCATTTCCAATGGTTCTTTTTAAACTGGTTATCTCCTCTGACAAGCCACTGTAGTCCCGCAGATTAATTCCTGGTGAGGACAGTGCAAATTAGCAGAGCAATTATTGTAATTGATAGCAGGTACAAACGTTTGGCAGAGATAGTAGGAACTGCAGATGCTGGAGAATCTGAGATAACAAGGTGTAGAGCTGGATGAGCACAGCAGACCAAGCAGCATCATAGGAGCAGGAAGGCTGATGTTTCGGGCCTAGACCCTTCATCAGAAATGAAGAAGGGTCTAGGCCCGAAACGTCAGCCTTCCGCCTCCTATGATGCTGCTTGGCCTGCTGTGTTCATCCAGCCCTACACCTTGTTATCACAAACGTTTGGCAGATGGATGTTCTAATCCTGACACGGCAACTAGATGTGAGTGATTTAAATTTGATTAATTAAATAAACCTCTAGCATAAATAGCTAAGGCTCACTGACCATGAAACTACAGATTGTCCAAAAAATCTGAATGGCCACTAATCTCCTTCACCTGTAGGGAAATCTGCTGTCTTTACCCAGTCTGGCCAACATGTTATTCCAGACCCACAGCAATTTGGCTGACTCTTGACATCTAAAGTACCATTCAATCAAGGAGGTTTCTCAATAGTGTATAGGATGCAGAGCATGAAGTACTGGCCCTTGCCCATGATGCTTTATTCTGCAGCATTGAAGGTATTGGCTAACTTTATATTGTTGTCAAGCCTGAAGTGTTTCAAAAACGAGCTTGGCTAAGGCCTTGTCGGGGTTAAGCCTGACTGAGACTACAGTCAGGCTGGTTCCGTGAAAAGCCTCAATTGAATTTGATGCTGACTGAGTCCTTTCAGGGTTCAAATCTGAAGTTTCACAGCTACAGTGTCCCTCTATGATCCTTAAGAGACTTCTCAAGTGTCCCCACCCCCTCACTTGCGTTCTGTCTCCTCTCTCTCTCTCCCCTCCTACCCCCCTCCAATCTCTCCAAGGACAGGAAGGCACAATCTTCAGGCCTAGTTATGAAGGTTAATTATTGCTGTTAGAAATCTCAATAAGAACCCTGGGCTGGGTGCCCTGTACTGTAAGGTGGACTGGGGGAGACTAAACATTGAGCTATGTCAACAAAATGAGATGGGTACCCCACTAGTAGTGGGTAGTACGGGGAGGTTGCGATCTTTTATAACATGTTCCAATTTTCCAATTTCACCTGCACCAACCAAAGATGTCTGCATTATTTAAATATATATATCTGTATATACCAAGTGTATTTACATGTGAATACTTATGAGAGCCAGAGTCTGTCTGGCAACAAACAGAACATTCTTCTGCTCGCTTTATCACCACATCAACTCTTTCCTTATTAAGGGTCAGAGTCCTCCTTCCAACCTGTTTCTCACTTTTTAATGCCCCCAACATTAACTCCATGTTTGGAAGTCATCAAGAATCACTAATTATGTTCCTCATTGGCTCTAGTTGGCAAATCTATCGTTCATGAACTCTGGTGCTTACCAACTCCATTTTAAGCAGCTGTTGGTACTTCCCTGTCACACAACGATGGCTATTACTTGGAATTTGTGGGAAAAAGTTAGGAAACGGCTTGGTGGGGAGGGAGTGGTTGGGATTGATGGTGTGGGAGAGGGGAATGAGAAAACCCAGTGGGGGTGGTAAATGCAGTGGTGGTCATCTATGGGACCCACTAAATAGTGGCAGATGAATAAATGTGACTGGGAATGGATGCATCTTATCTGAAGTGGATCAGTACCTTCCATCTCCATCTGGTGGGTTGGGGGTGGGGGACAAACTTGGAGTCAAATGGGGAGAAAGTAAGATCCCTGTACCTGCAGCACTTCTCACTCTGGCCTTCTCCAGCCTATGAATCAATCTTTTACATTGTTCACCCAGAGAAAAATACTTCAGTTGGCCAACAGGTTTGGTCTTGGTTCTGTTGCTAAGCAACCCTATCTGAACTTGATAACAGTAATTACAAGAATTTTTAAAAATCTGTGAAACTGTATCACAGAACAACTACAAAAATGCATCTTATGTACCCTATGATGAAATAATTTTGAGTTTTAATGATTGTGGTTGCAAAAAGAAAATTGTATGTGACAAGCTTATACAGTCATTCCAATTATTTATTTTTTAATTTATTTCTTCTCATATAAATGGAACAAGGTTCATTGATTCCTTCATTAAGCCTGTGTATTTTGTGCTTATATGTCTGTGTCCTGGCCTTCAATATGTCATGGGACTGATTTTTGACTTGGCTGCAATGTCTAATCAGACGGCAAATCGTGATAATGGACAGTCTATGGGAGGTGGAGAGGGGTTATTCAATAAGGAGGAATAGGGATCAGGGAGAGATCAACACCCTGGGTCCAAAATATTTAAGTCTCGCATTCGAGAGTTATTGATGTGATACGTTGAGATGAGAAGTTTTGACATGGAGAAATTCAATGGGAAAAGTTCATTGAAAAACACAATCCAAAAAATAACCTAAGAATGGACTTGAAGAAAGGAAAATGTGCACCTTACAAAGGTTTTAAACATTAAGGCCAAATCAGATGCCATTTTACAAGCCAGAAGTCCAACCTTCCCCTCTGGAGGCAAAGTAAGACTTTAAGTCAATTTTGAACCAAGTATAAAAACAATGGATTAAAGCCCACCCTACCGTTCCATTTGGTTGATGAGAAAGTAGTGGGGCTCTAGCATTTGTTAATGGGATATACTGGCCTGACTTGTATACCTCAAAATGGAGGCTCATTATGAAAAACTCATCACTTCCAAGTTCAGCTGTTGTCTGTCTTGCTGGGAATTAAGTCCTCCTTCGACTACTATCATAAACCCTTGGCGTGATTAATCTCTAAGCTGCATGATTCTTGGATATCATTGGTTCTGTCTAAATGGTCTAACTTTCAAAGGCTGGGAAGCTCAAAATAGTAGTTCAGGCACCAGTTATGTTTTGACTCTTTGATAAACCATGCTTAATAAGCCCTACTTGCAGACTATTTGTCAACTGCCAGAAGGCAATTGTTTTGATATTGGGCCAACATTATCATTGAAGAAGATGTGGATCAGACTCTACTAAAGTAACCCCAGCTGCAAGGTGCATTCTAATGCCCTGCCAACCCATGCCCTGATTAAATTCAAGGCCAGAATGCTCTGCCACTTTTAGGCCCTTTGCTAGCAGGCTCCCATTGTCGGGAGCCTGTTCTGTTGCCAGGAGTTCAGTGCCTGATCAAGGGACCCAATATCAGGAAGGAGTTTAAACTGTTGAGAACTGTCTCCCTACTGTTGTTACTAAATCAGCCCCTCAATACCTCCTTCCTGTTCCTATCTCTATCACTTCTTCAAACTCTGCATCTGTAACCTATCTCTGTAACCTCTATCTCTCAAGCCTTGTCAAGCTCCTACAAGCTTCTTTATTTCTGTGTCCCCCTCCAGCCCTTGTAACCCTCTATCCGGTAACATCCACTACAAACCTTCCAAGCTCTAGCCACGTCCCACCTCTACAATTACCTCATCTCTAACCACATCCAACCCCCACAGCCCTCCCTCTCTCAGTAACCACCTCGAGCCCCAACAGCCCTCTGAGAATCTCTGTTCTCTTCCAATTCTAGTGTCTCATCAGCTACCTGGGTCCCAAGCTTTGAAAGTCCCTCCATAAACATTTTCATCCCTCCCGCTTATCCCACTCCCTACTCTTCCTGCCTCCTCCTTTCCCCTCATTTCAGAGTATCTTTCCAAATGTCTTAAATGTTGTAATTGTACTCACCTCTACCACTTGCTGTGGCAGCATGTTCCGTGTACACACCACCCTCTGTGTAAAAACGTTGCCCCTCAGCTCCCTTTTAAGTCTTTACCCTCTCACTTTTAACCTTTAGTTTTGAACTTTCCCTTTCCCCCTGGGGAAAACGTCTTGGTTAATTATCTATGTCCCTCTATTTTATAAACCTCTATAAGGTCACCCCTCAGCAGCCTATACTCCAGTGAAAAGATTTCCAGCCTCTCTTTAGAACTCAAACTCTCTGGTCTTAGTAACATCCTTGTAAATCTTTCTTTGCACTCTTTCCAATTTAATAACAAAATCCTTTCAAAGCAGGGTGACCAGAATTGTATATAGTACTCCAAATGCGGCCTTACCAATGTCTTGTACAGCCGTAACGTTATGTCCTAACTCCTGTACTCAAGTGCTCTGACCAATGAAGGTAAGCATGCCAAATGCCCTCTTCACCACACTATCTACCTGTGACGCCA